TCCTGCCCCCAGCACGGCAGCAGCCGGCCACTTCTCACCCGGCGGGCCTCAAGACGACGATCGCAGCCTCTGACCTCACGGAATTCTCAAATGTGGATGAATGTCCCTGGCAGTCTTGTGAAAACAAAAATAGACCTCTGAGGCCCAACCACCAGGACATCCGACCTCCCGGGAGGCGCGCAGCGGGGCCTCCGGGGCCTGCGAGTCCGCATCCGCGTTTCACAGCGTCCCGCAGCCGGGGCCGCGCTGGGAGAAGCCGCCCTGCAGCTGCCTGCCCTGCAGCTGCCTGGCCTGCTGCAGCCACCTCCTCAGCTCCACGCTCTTGCCCTGATCACAGTAAATCCTTTGCTATGTCCTGAGAAGCACTGACGCGTGCGAGTTCCAGTCTCAATCCATCTTGCACCTTCACCGCCCCAAGGAAAAGGTGGTGTTTCTTCAACACACGGATTAATAGCAAAGACTCAAAGACCAGTGGCCCCAGCCAGAACTGTGACCGTCATTCTGCGCCATTGGCCACTTGCAGCCCTTCTCCCCCGCTTCTACCTTTCTTTATGGACTGCACCTGTCTCTTCTCATGCGTGTCTCTGAGGGACAGCAGGCCTCTCGCGGGCAGGGATTGATTTGTTGTGGGTGGCCCCCCAGTGCCCGGCACAGGGCCTGCGGCTTGGTACCCGTTGAGTGGCGTGCGTGGACTGAAGAAGTTAACCCACACACACTAACCACCAGCGCGGGTATAGGGTTGAGCCACCATCAGAAGGACCCCAGATGACGCACCCTGGAGCTGCAGTGTGCCACTGCAGTGGTAGATGGAATTCAGTCAGCATTTAATAAGCATCTACGACGTGCAGCATGGCGGGTCGGGCACAGGAGTGCACAGGAGGATAAGACAGTGTCTGCCACATGGGACGCGTGCCGTGCCCGATGGTCAGGACAAGGACTTACTGCATTTGGCAGATGTCCATTTTACTTACCAAGAAAGAGAACAATGTTTACGTGTGGGGTACATTTAGAACAAGCGTGGCAGAAGTTTTCAAAGCTATGAGCGTGCGCACCTTCTGAGGAAATATTTTTGATCCGTATTCTTTAGCTGGCCGTGTGACTTCTGAGCACATGAGCACTGTAACAAGGAGTTATTCT